CCCCCAGCCCCCAGGAGAGATGGCCACGCCACAGTCCCTTCTCCTCCAGTCTCCTCTCGGAGTCTGGGGTGCTTTTCAAGCCACTGGGTCACCGGTCAGCCGTGGGGGCGCCCGGTGCATTAGCCCCCACGCCACCTGCTGGCCCTAACACGTTTTTAAAACACGTTTGCTTCCTCACTCCTGGTGAGCTCTCAGTGATGTCCCCTGCCCTCTCTCCTGAGGCGGTGTTTGCCTACCACGAGGAGGAAGCTTTCTCACAGCGCGAGAACGCCCTGGCCGTCACCCTGTTGCTCTCGCTCTACGGCTCCGCCATCGCGCCCTTCACCTACCTGGCCAGCTTCTTCTTCGACAGCGCGGGCAGCGCCTGCGTGAAGCTCGTCGTGCTGCTCACCTTCCTGAGCATCGGCCCCTTCATCCTCGTCTCGGTCACGAGCGAGCAGGGTGAGGACTGGCACGCCCCCACACCACAGAAAGCTCTCGTGTCTCCTCCAGCGGTCACAGCAGCTGTGGTCTAAAGAGACCCACATCTTCGGGAGAGTGGCAAGCACCCCGGCTGCGCTGCCCCGTGGGTCCCTGCTCAGCAATGAGCAGGGACAGGCAGCAGAGGGACATGGAGGCACTGGGTCGGGCAACAGCGTGGGCGCTCTGGGCTGGCCCGATGGCGCAGCAGGCGTGCCTGTGCACACGCAGCCCGAGCCACGTGGCCAGCCACGGTTGGGTCCCAGCCCTGGGAGCTTGAAGAGCACGTGGGGTGCACGTGCCCAGAATTCCGATGGGATGGAGGCGTGCGGGAAGAAGGATTGCAACAGGACTCTGCCCCACGGGGGTCTTTCCTCCCTCTCACGGCCCCCCACCTCTGGCAAGTGCACATGCCCTCTGGCAGTTAAAGAAAAAGAGTGCTCTATAAGGCCACCAATGCAAAGTCCTCGAAACAACAAAAGTAATTCTGGTGACATTTAGTGAAAATGTCTTGTTTTTGTTTTTGTTAAATAATTCTTTTTTTTTTTTTACCTTTATTTATTTATTTTAATTTGCCCAGACAGGGACAGAGCAAGAGAGAAATAGAGAGGGAAAGAAAGTGAGAAAGCAAGCCTCCAGGTCCGGGACTCGAACCATGGTCAGCCATATGGGAGTTCAGTACCCTTAACCACCACGCCACTTGCCAGCCCCACACATTTATCAGTCATCTGCGCCTCTTTGGAGACTTACTTATGTACTACTTGGCACATTTTTATACTGACCCCCGGGGGGATGGCCACGCCGCAATCCCTTCTCCATTCTCTTCCCGGGATCTTGGGCACGCATGCACACACGCCTGGCGTGAGTTTAAGTCACCGGGTCTGGGACTCGAACTGCAGTTGACTACATGGGAGTCCAGCGACATAGCCATTACGCCAACTGCTGCTCCCAGTGTTCTTATTCTTAATGGGGTGTTGATTACATGAGAGCATATACAGAGAGAGAGCAAAAGTGATTTAGTTATCCACTTAAGATCTGTGTATTTCGCTGAAAAATATTACCCTCAGAACAGAGGGGAGTAGGTACATAGATGAGCCAAGGCAGAGGGCAGCTGCAGGGGTGTGGTGAGAGCGAAGGAGCTGCGAGCACGACCCATTCACAGCGCACCCGGGCGTGCCCGCCGTGCGCCGCACTCCCGGGGGATACACAGATTCATGAAGCGCTCCCTGGTTTTCAGCAGTTTGCCCGCCTGCAGGCGGAGTGCTGGTCCAGGGACAGACACAGACGAAGACCACAGAGGCCGTGCTCTCCCGTGCTCTCCCTCCCACAAACGGTGCGTGTCTCCCCCTCACAGAGCTCGGCTACGCCACGGTCTCCGAGTCCTTGGACCGCACCTTCCTCATACTCCCAGGGCACTGCCTGGGCATGGCTTTCTCCAACTTATATCACAACTTCGAGCTGCAGAAGTTCTGCAGGACCAAGAACCTGAGCCAGACTGACTGCAACGACGTTTGTGAGTATCGTCAATCAAATGTGTTATTACATTGTAATTGAGATATGATTTACATAAAATTCACCACAGTTCTAAGCCCCAGCCAGGTCAGCCTGAAGCGCACTGCACATGTGCGTGTACCCAAGATCGGGGCTGGAGGACTGGAGGAAGGGGTCACAGCACGACCAGACCCAGGAGAGGGTGTTCGTCTCTCTGTCTCTCGCTCTCTGTCTCTCACTATCATGTGTACATGCGTACACTTGCGCATGCACACATGAATAAAGACACAATTTTGAAAGATGTTTGCTATAGGGTGTGTGCGCTCACCAGAGAGACAGGAAGAAAGTGAGAAGCCACCTCGGGAGGATGGCCGCACCACAATCCCTTCTCCTGCCTCCTCTCGGAATTTTGGGCACACGCACACGTGCCTTGCATGTTTTAAGCCAGGACTCAAATCGTGATTGACTACATGAAAGTCCAGCAATGTAACCATTATGCCATCTGCTGGTCCCAAGTGAACTTTTAAATTAATATTATTTTGGGGGCCAGCAAGTAGCACAGTGATCAGGACACGAAACTGCTGTCCCAGAGCGGCACCGGATGGGCCACCAAAGCCAGATGAAGGTTAAAGGGAGTCTTTATTAGCTGGCCAGCGACTACAGCCTGAGGCTCGGGGGTGGGAGTCAGCACTGCAG